AAGTAAGTTGATCGATGCACTTTTGTTTTGATAATCCAAATCGACAGCCGTAATCGCTGTCGATGAAAAGTTTCTCGCGTTAATTCTATTTTTTTGCGTACAATCAATTTACAAATCACAGTAAATAACACAAATAACGCCCTTTTTGACAGAAAGCCTAAAATGGGTTATATTTATTAATGTCAAACTTTCGTATGCAAACGTAAGATGACACCTGACAACATTTAGTGTTGCTAAGGCTCAAAATTTAAATAGTGACCCTCGTATACGAATAAGTAGAGGTATGAATTGCTAGGCTATGAATAGCTAGAAAATGTGCGAACTCATTTTTCTACTAAACACAATAGCATTGTTTTCCAAATCAGCTCAAAATAAACGCGTTTCTACCAAAAAACAAAATAGTAGTTAAATTTTCTGATGTAGCCAAAAACACAGGCGGAAGTAAAAACAAACTACATAAGTTGCATAAATTGTACGCGCAACCATTCCGCGTACGATATCCTTCAACACTGCAACATGACTTCGTGTTGCATACTAAATACACCCAAATCAGGATGAGCAGGGACAACGACATCTGTATAAGAGAAGTGCGCTTGAATGTGTTTATAAAGGACTTTGGCATATGTCGTTTTGCTCTAAAAAAGCAATAAAGCGCAACGTTTGTTGCATGCACATGAGCTCAAGCTTCCTGTCAACTGCTGAACGCTTTGTTAGCGCTTTAAAAATGTTGCCAAAACACGAAGTGATGAAGTCAATGGAAGGTTCACATTGCGTGTGAATAATGCACGAGTAAGTTGCCCGCTTAAATCTGAGCTACGAATGAGAGCTGCGACCGATTTCTGTTGGCTGGTGTATCCTGGCAGAGCACAGCACTGGTAAGCCAACTGCGGTTGCTTTGACTGCAATTTTAGGTGCTGCTGCGTAGTTCTGAGAACGATAGGAAAGTGAAATAGAATAAAAGGATTTAAATTTATGTTTTCCAAAGCTACTTTTTATGTGATTTTTACCAATGAAATTTGCGTTATTGGAAGCTGATTTAGTCGATGGTAGCTTACGTGCATACCGCAGAAAACTTGCTGGTAATATATCTTTGGTACATGTAATTGGATTTGTAATAAATGCTTTAAGGATTGAGTTTTTACAGAGTTCGATAAAATATTTGCGAATAAAGGAAACACTTAAAATGTTTATTCGAAAATTATGGATGAAATCGGAATTGGGTTTGTATATTTCATGGATTTGAATTATTCGTTTATCTAAGCAGGGTCGATAAATTTATTAGAATTTGATAATAATATACGATAATTACTAATTTGTTTGTTAAGACTTAATGTGAAACTTTACTCATCCATAGATTTTTATTAGAAATAATGCGTGAAGTTTCACTGAGTTGGATTTAAAGCCATGAAATTCACCATCAAAGAAAAGAGTACAAAAATGATTTATAAGATTGATCCGAATAGCGATATCTTCTTAATTAATCTTACCTCTTAAATACAGTTCAAAGGAGGGAGCGAATGATACGTAGGTAGAGAGAGGAGTAGAGAATTAAGGAAAACAAAAGAGAGAGCTTTTCTCTGAAGGTATAAAAAGACCACGGAAAATGAAACCATGAGAGAAAAACAAAGGAAAGGGAATGATTTAAAATGAAAGAAAGGTAAAAAGAGTAAGTTGAAGAGAAAAAAAAGAGGGGAAGAAACAAAAGAAGGAGAAGTACAGAATGTCTTATGTTGAGTCTTTTCCGAGTTAGTGCATCTGGACACTATTACTCTATGATGGCTGTGTGGTTTCTGCAGAGTCTCACCAATCTCATTGACTAATTTGTGTATTCCTCATATAGAATTTAACGGAGAGAAAAAGTCAGAGAGAAGAAAAAAGTGCGACATATGAGAGAAAAAAAAACGAAGAGATAAAAAGAGAGAGAAAATGGTGAGAGAAGAGAAGAGGGAGAGAGAGCAAAGTTCAGTGGCAAAGGATGGAATGTTTCAGAACTTGAATTTTAGCCATTGGTGCTTCTTCACTAAATTATAGAGCTAATATTTCATTTCATTTTAGTTCTATTAAATTAAGAATTTTTTTCAAACAATTTGGACGCAGATGCTTCTGCAGATAATTTATTATCTTGAATTGACTATCAGTATGAAATGCATGCACGGTCATGACGGATCGTAAGGATCGTAAATTTAACGAGACTATCTGTCATATATATCACTATTATATGATAGAGATATATGAGATCTCTTTATATGGTTCTGATCTCTTTAAAAGTTACAATTGACTTATTTAACAAATGTATTCGTATATGCTGTATGTATCCAGTCTTGTAACATATTTGTATAAAATCTTTTGATTATCGTATCGTTCTAGTTTTTTACAAGCTAAGCGTCTACATAATATAATATGCAAATATTAACTAGGTATTTAATAGCTATTTACACCACGTTATTTTTATAATATGTAACTAGTCATAAATGATAAATATGATCAAATAATGCTATATAATGAGATTTCAAAAGATCTTAAAAGAACTAGAATAAGCCTAAGTAGTCCAAAATATATATATTATAGTATAAATAAGTTGGCATAATCAGTATGCAATAACCTAATTGCAACAACTGTCCTAAAACAATCACCTCAACTGAATATGATAATCATAAAGTTCAACATTTTATTCAAATCAATATTCTCAGCTTGCTTTGTTTAATATATATGTACATTTGTTTACATCAGGTTTTAGCCAACGAGTCCAGAATTAATGAGCCTCAACGCCTCAACGCAGTGTCTAAAGAGAATTCTTTTGAATTTAAAATTTATGTGAATCTAATTGTCGCGGTGGCCTTTATGATTGCTAGAAATTACTTGGAATAAAATGTTGCAACGCTACAAGGAAGCACGTTCTTCCAACAGAACAATTGCAACATAAGCAACACCTGTTAAGTAGCTGGAATAGTCAAAGACAACAAAACAAATGTTGACGACAAAAATAAAATCATAAAATTACAAAATTGACAAGTTGACATTTTTGAAAAGGAAAAAAAAACACCACTGATTATTGATTTAAAAGTGATAAAAATTATTTGAAAATAAAGAATTAAATACTGAACATATATTTATACGATTGGAAATAAATTTTAAGGTATTTTGTACAGACTGTGTAGGTTACACCGGCGATCCCTAGGGGATCCAATTATTTCTATTGGCTCATTGTGTTACCATATATATAGGAATAACTCAGGGTTTAAAACCACCTAGAACCCTTGGCTACAGACTGTTTAACAATAATAAAATATTGAATCAAATTCAAAGAGTTTTATAATACAAAACAAAGTATTTATTGTAACTACAATGCAATTAATATGATATATAATATATATAAAAGCAGGATACCTTACATTTCGTGATTAAATCGAATAAAAATCATCTCAAAAGTGAATTCGAAATTTGTGGTCTTTATTTTGTAGCTGCTATATGAAATAATCGTCTTCAGATATTACTATGAAGAATTCATGATGCAACACTCATGATAAATAATGCCAAGAAATGTCCAAAATTTTGTTTAGTTAGTAGTGATTGCTCTAGGTATATATATTATGCTGCCTTAAATTATCACATAAAAATTTGCGACCTAATGAAGTTTCATGTAGCTTCTCCATAAAGAGTTCTATTGTTCGGTCTTTTATATAGATGTTTGTAGGTAATATGCTATATCAAGCTTTTTAAGACTCTCTTAAACTTCACTCTGAATAAAAATTTTTAACTCATTAGTGACATCACAATAATAAAATAAAAAACACGAGAACTAAATTTGCACAAATAAAACAGTTTTTTCTTGGTTTCTATTTTTGCTTGAATATCTAATCCACTTGTTTTGTGATTGTCTACGGATCCATTGTTTACGATCTTGTTTGAATGGCATTCATGTTCTGATATGAATATCATTGAACTCATTGACTACATTGACCGAATATT